GAGTATACTGAAATCGATTCTTCGAAAGAAGAAATTAGCGACACCGAGAATTAGAAATTAGTTAATAGTGTTAGTTAATTATGGACTATTAGAGAATTATAAAGTATTAGTTAAATATAGATTATAAGTTAAGTATTAATTAGTTAATCGTTAAATTGTGCCTGCTACGGCTTTTTTGTCACTACTTGAATATACTCGTTGTAATTTTTTTATTTTTACAATAAGCTTAATATTTAAATGAGAAAAGATTTTTTATCTTACCACCACTCACTCTTCCCCCTTAAATTGGGTCCCCTGACCTCAAAATTGAATTAGGTAGTCATAATAGGTAATAAGAAAACCCCATGAAGCAATAAATCGCAATAAATATTTTTGTCCAGTGAGCATGTTCTGAGCGAATCATAGTGAATTGGGGTGAAAGTATTCAAATCAGCAGAGGGTACTCGCCGATTGCTGCCCGCGGTGCCCCAGAAGCACAGGACAGGGAATGGCACGTCGTGACAGGAGGTTACTTTTGTGCACCTCAAGCAAGCAAGCTATTGCATTCATGGTATTACACATCTGTGATTATTATGATGTGGTTTCAAATGTTGAATGAATCTCTCACCAATATTCTTATAAACTTTGTTGATTTCAGTCCTGACGGAATGCCCAGCGACGTAAGCGTCACCACTTGATATCGTTTCGTCACCCATCAGCATTTTGAATGTAGTTGTCTTACCTGCGCCATTTACACCCAGCAAACCAAAACATTCTGATTCACTAACAGCTGAAAATTAATAAAATCACTTTATTTGGTTTGATACAAATCGGAGTTCGTGTTGGCGTGGCTTTGTGATCATTCCATGATGAACGGGTACATTTTATTTTAATTAAAATGTTGGAGATTCCACATATTCTATCCGGCCTGGTTACCTGACCAGAGGGATATAACATTTTGAGACAAAATCCTTGGAGTTGGTCCCAAATCTGCTAATTTTAAATCATCTCAGTTTTGTGTTTTTGTTTGGTATTCCGCTAATATTCAACGCCCATTGCATGTTTTTGGTATGTTGTTCTTCAATGGTGAGACGATGGCGTATAATATTACTATACCATTGACCTACTAGGTCAATGTATTACACTATAATATTATATATGACATTTAATTTCAACACTAAATTGTTGTATAAAAATTAAGATATGCATAGTAATTTCCATTGTAGTTTTAGTAAGGCAACATCGATCGTTAGTGATCGAATTAATAAATGCCATCACTGCTATTCCACCAACACCCTATTGAGAGTCAACTGCCATTGCAACTAGATTTAAATTGTTATATAAACTCAGTGAAGTCTAAATGGAATTACAATTACCAGTGATTTCCAGAAAACTAGCAGATTTGGGGCCCATGGGGCCTACCGTAACCTTTCCAAAAACAATTTTATTTCAATGTAAGCTTATTATAATATTACTCATATTCGTACCATGACAAACCTGTCAACCAAGTAATGTATTATTGCTAAAGTGGTTGAAAGAACGAATGATTTTCCAATATTGTCTATTCCTTACTAAAAGTACGATATAAATAACGCTATATGAACTATATGTATAATGCCATCTCTTTCTTTTGTGATGTTCCGAATCGTCTTATCGTAGTATAATGTTTATACCGTAAATTGGGGTGAATAGAATGTGTGGGGTGAATAGAAAAAAAGTCCGAAAAAGTTTAGCTTGATACAGCACTATGCCTGTATAGCTTTTTATGGTAGAAATTGTTTGCTTATATTGACGACTCTTTTAAAGTAATCAGATCTTAACAAAGATAAGTGGCGCAAATGCCAAATTCAATGTAAATTTAACAGCTCAAAAGATAGCAAATTTCGACCAACTAAACGTTAAGATTTTATGTAGTTAATCGTTGTTTTTGTAAGTTTTGTGGCTTTAAATGAGAAGTTTGAGCATTTATCTTATTGGAATATGTAAAGGTAAGCCTTTTTCACGTTACTTAAGCGTCTTGAATCATTTTGATGTAAAAGGGTAAAAAGAAATGTAAGAGGGGTGATTAGGAATAGCTAAGAGGTGAATCGATGTGAAAAGAATCACATACGGGGTGAAAAGAATCACGTATGGGGTCATTAGAAGTGACGGTATAGGGCTGCCTGCGTGCGTGCGTGTGTGCGTGCTTGCGTGCGTGCGTGCGTGCGTGCGTGCGTGCGTGCGTTCGTGGGTGCGTGCGTGCGTGCGTGCACATACAAATACACACACGCGTACACATACATATACACATCAACACGGACACGCACACACACTTAAACTTTTTGTTTTATATAATTTCATTTCATTTGTACCTAATCTACTAAAAAACTTTTGGGATTTGAATTAATGCGCAATTATATGATATCATAATATGATTAAGTTCAATTAAGTTCAGAAATGCAATACTATTATGGTACAAAATTTATTTCTTATTCATTTAATGTACTGAGCCTACCATATAGCCAAAACCAAACCCAGATAAGTTAGGTTAATACCTACCTACATAACCTAACGGGTAACCTTCCCAATTAGTATATTTTTTGTGTCAGCCCTTGCACTTTTTCTTTTAACCCTGTTTAACCCAGTTTTTACCCTAGTGCATATTTTGCGATTTTTCTCACAAATATATTAAATAAACTATTAGATAAACAACGCAAATCGTTTAATTAAAATACTGGACACCGCTCAGTACCGTGAAGTATGTAAAACAATAGATAAAAGTAGTTTGAAATTGAGAATTAGTAATTAATTAATAAATATAAATTAGTAATTAAGTAATTAAAAATTAGTAATCGTTTCTATTCACCCCAATTTACGGTACTTAATGTTATTTGAATTCAGACAATTTTAACTGTTAGAAAAAGAAAAGCATGTAATAAACAATGAAATCTATTAAAATTACGTTATTCTCAATTATTTTTACGCATTTTATGAAGAAAAATGAATAAAACAAGCTGAGTCTTGATAGTCACGTAGTGAATTCGGAGTTATAGTCTAGTGTCAACTGTTAGTGTCGGCAAGGAGCATATTAGATATCGCTGTTATAATTTTACGAAAAAAACATCGCGTATTTTTATTTAACGAGATATTATTTCCTATGTGCTATTAAATAAAAAAATAAACATCATATAGAAGATATTTATGTAAATAAATAAGTTCAACTTAATTTTCAATCATTGTAAATAAATTTTAGATGATAAATTCGAAAAAAATATTGTTTCCATTGCGTCCGAGTAACTATTTTAAGATTGCTAAATTTTACATAAAAACAACATTACTTTAATGTAAACTGAGTGAATGATTAGTTAAAAAGCTGCCAATAAAACATCATAGTTATAACATTATAATAAGCTTACTTTAAGCGCGTCATGGTACGAAAAGTCAATGTAAGTTTAAAGTAATATTGTTTTAAGAGGTTGTGGTAGGCCCCCTGGAAACTCGCCTCAGAGCGGTTACACGCGGCAGCTTTTAGCAACGCGTCTGGTGCGATGCCGTTGCTAATCATTTACCTTTACCACCATTTACCATACGCGCGACGTAGACAGAAGCAGCGATACAGTCGTGATACAAACGTGACACAATCGCTATGCAAAGACGATGCACGTTTTTAATCATTCGACATTAGCAACGGCATCGATGCTGTCGCGCATTTACAACGATGCAACCGCCTTATGAATAGCTAATGTCGCCATGCAATCGCGCGTTTGTATCGCTGCTAAAAGTCGCGTGTATATTGTTATCATAATCACCACAAGGGCAGCAAGCAACTCCAACGTTTAAAGTGATAATCATTCGCCCTGAGAAAATTCCTTGGAAAAAAAAACATTTCAAAGTAGTTGTAATTTTTATACTTAACTAACAGCCCTGTTTTAATAACTCGACCGCGTAAATACTTACTGAAAGACACTTGGTTAACAGCGAGGTAACCGTGATAATATTTCGTAGTTTTTTTCACCACTAAGGTATGGTCCCCTTGCCCTTTTTCAATGCCTGCGACATATCTCATCTCTGCCAAGACATCGTCGTCTAATTGGCTCTCATTCAATGGCCGTGGTATACGATCCTTCCTGAATATCTACAAAACAAGAAGAGCGATAGATTATGTTTTCGAGCTCAAGTGTTCTAAATAGGGTTTTCATCCCGGGAATCTCGGTTTCGAAAATTTCGGGGTCAAATTGTCAGCACGCTCAATAGGCTTCGATCCGGATACGTTCCAATAAACAAATTTTTGTATTTGATACGGAGGTGAATTCACCGAATTGCGAAGTGTATGGAATTCCTGAGGATGCACATCATTTAGCTTGTGGAGTTCTGATGGACTCTGTCAGGGTACAGTTATTTGCACAAGTGGGTTTCCGTACATTTAATGTTGGGTGGTTTCAGTCCGTTTTGTCGGAGTCGACATTTGTAGTGCCGCGAAGATTTTGTACTCATTTTTTTCAGGTTTTGATTTTAGTAAGTGTTTTCTTGATGTATCGTTTTATAATGGGGCTGACATGTTCAATAATGATCAAATCCTCGAAATAAATAAAGAGTTAAAACAATTTAGTCTCAACCACTTTTTGGTATTTTCTAAACTCGGCGAGAAACTTTTTAAGTCTCAGGAATATCGAGACTCTTGAGATTTAAGTCACATAAGAGTCTATACAATCTCAAATGACTGGTTAATTCCGCATAACAATAAAAACGTTGAATCAATCGCTTTGGACAAAATACATAGTAAAATTAAAGATATACAC